TTTTTTATTTAAATTTAAATTTAAATAAAAACAAATTAAAATAACCTCCAATTATTTAATCAAACTCATATCAAGTGAAGAGAGTCTCAAATTTTTACGTATATCTTTACTCAATTTTCAATGGTCAGATTTCACTTCTTTATTTTCAATTCAATGGTCAGATTTTACTTTTTTATTTTCAATGGTCAGATTTCACTTTTATTTAAATTTGCATTTGTTCATGGGAGTGTCTTGTATATGTCTAAGTCAACTTATCTATACATTGACTAATTCTCTTTTAATCCCATCTATCCCGAAATTAGAAAATCCATTGGAATAAATTCCCCGCGCCTCTATGAAAGTTATTCCAGGAGAGGAAGTTATCCCAAGGAAGTTATAATAGATTACCCATGTCTTCATTGGGGTATCTGGTACTCAATTTGTGCAAAGAAGACGAGGCAAAAGGCCATAGCCCATTAATTGGTCCGAAAGCCTGGTTTTAATAGAGCCATTGGTTGGCAAAGGTTTTGTCACATGAGAGCCCCGTGGGCAGCCTATTAGTCCAATAAGTGGAATCCTAAGCCCATATGTTTGCATATAGGGCCCAATGGACTGGATCATTAAGGCCCATGGCATGATTTGGAATTGCACTATACACCTTGAAAATTTTAATAATTTTTATACAAGATAAGACTTTTAACATTAAATCATTAATGTATTAAAATTATTACAATATGACACTACCATTCAATAATTAAAGCGAATTTCAGCCGTTTGAATTTAGGACATTGACCACAGTAATTGGTCTATCCAGGTTCACAACAAACAACTCATTACTGCAAGTCCTGCATATACATAGTATATAGAAAGACGTGTGTATAATTGTGACTTAACTGGGTATACATTATACAAAGAAGTATGCTCTTAAGGATCAACCATCGCAGCAGATCTCCGTGAGGGTGGATCCTTTATTCCTTTACCCTAGCTACCTTCGACCTTCAAAACTGCCCAACAATGATTATCTTTCTCGAATGCAACTCAAGGAGGGTGGAGCATTGGCCCTTGCTACCTCCATGGCTACCGTGGATGAAAATCATTCTCGAGTTGAAGGATATCAGCCAGTCTTGAAGCTTCCTGATCTAACATTACCCAATCCCTCAGCAAATCAGCATTCAGTTCAAGTTTAATACTCACATGAGAGTGGATCCTTGACCTTTGATTGCTTCAAAGCTGTCCACAAATGACAATTGTTGTCGAACGTGATCCACTAGTTGTGAAGTTTTCTGATCTAACTTTAGGGGATACCTCGGCAAACTCTGTATAGGTTCAAGTTTAATCTCTCATGTAAGTTTATTTCATTCCCACATATAAAGAAGCATAAAAAGAAAAACAGCATACCTCACAAGCCCATAAGCAATCACGAGCATTCCGAGGAATGATATGAATGTGAGTCTGAACTTGCCATGTAATGAGAAAATTCCATTTAGCTTATCAGCTCTCTCAATAGAAACATAAAAATAACTAACCAGAAAGAAACACGCATAGTATCTACAGAAGACTGACATGAAATATAACTTGGCCCGCTGCTGCACCATTGTTAACCAACAAATTGAATGAATCTGCATAGTTAAGACCTTAGATTAAATCAGAGTTACACATATATTCTTACTAGGTCGAGGCAGATCTGTCAGAAGGTGAGTATAGCTATATGCATAGGAAATTAAGACAGCTTATTAAAACCAATCACGTTTCATCACTTAACTAATCTTATAAATTTCCTACTTGCTGAGAATTCTCCTTGGATGGCAAAGGAAAAATCTCAATGAGTAAGAAACCACTTTGATTATTTTCCTTCAGACATTAGGTTACAGCAACTGGCAATTGAGATGACAACATATATATATCATCCCCCTGGCCAACTTATTCATACCAGCACAGAACAAATTAGATAGATGTGGGGCCCCTCACCATGTGAACAGAATTACAGAGGTAACATAGATAAGGAAATCCATGTGATTGTGCCAGGAAAAGAGACTCCCATCAAAAGTATATATGCAATAAATCACATTTCAATATATGGCGCAAGCAAATATGAGAACAAGCATGCAGAAAGCATCTCGTCAGACCAATCAACTCAGCACTTAGCTGTACATTTAACAAACCAATTTGAAAGATCATTTGATGTATATGTATCATTTACCAAGTGAATTTGGTAGTAATTATTGTAAAAGTGGCATTTTTTGAATACTTATTCTAACGAAAAATCATGAATGCATACTGGATAAGGACAACATGTATATCAAATATGTTCCATTTCAAAACAAGAAGACATGATAGAAATTAAGATGCTTTCCTTCTAGCTTAGTTAAACTTCTATCCACCATAGTTATTAATATCGTACGATACGTCACAATACACCTGAAAAACAATACGTATCGTATCGCTGTATCGTTTTATACCGTATCGTACGATACACGATACGATACGTAAAGATTATGTTTTTTTTATTTTTTTTTAGTTTTTTGGGGACTGAAATGATATCGTTTTACCCTAACACTTATTTTTAAATTACTAGCCAGTGAAACAACGTAATTTTAGTGGGTATGGTTTAAAAAAATAAAATAAAATATGTTGTTAATATTGTTCAATTTAATTCAAAAGTCCTGATTAATATTAAGGTTGTTCAAGTAGTTGATGTTAGAAGTTTGAATTAGAGATCTTTACATTTTGATATTACTTAACTATATTGAAAACTTAAATAGTTTGTGGAATATTAATGAAATGTTATATTATTATAAGCCTATGACTTTTTTTCAAAGGAATATATATAAATTTTATTAATAATTATTTAAAAATTAAAATTGCGCATATTTTATGATACACAATACGATACGATACACTATTTTTTAAAAACGATACGTCTTCCGATACGTGATTTGACAACTATGCTATCCACAATTATTCTCATATAATTATCCATGAAAGTATCTGAAAGTAACAGCATTGGGTTTGCCAGCACTAGACACTAAAAATAATGGACTGGGGCTCATATTTGTATTGGCTTTTCACATTGCCAGGGTTTGGGTCTGATCTTCCCACCCAGTAACCACAGGTACTTGACTGTTAGTCCAAATATACGACAGCTCCAACCAACCTTAATTCCTATGGCATTGACATAACTTAAGGCAGTATCACTAAATAATGCACACCATTCATGAGAAAGAAGTAGAAGCCCCCAAAAAAAGACGAGTTCCAACCATTTCCTCTCCTTCACGTTGAAGGAAGGAAGAAAAATAAAGAAGAACTCAACATCCGATGAATTATGAAGTAATTGATCTGATCCATAAAGAATAACACGTACCACATCCAGTAGCTTTCAACACAGCATTGCCGATTAAGGGTACTTTTGAACACATGGCACCTACCACCTGGGTTAAAAGTGTCTCTAAATTAGATATTCAGTGATCTTTGTATTTTAATGAATTCTGATTAAAGGAAAAGATATTGCCACTGCACATGAAATTGAAGTTCATGGAAGTCAACCATATTCATACAATTCGTTTCACAGTGAAGTCCATGGAAGACGCATATCATGTGATTTTATAGAAACAGGGCAAAAACACAAAATAACTCGAAGGTAAAATATGAAACTAATTCAAGTGTAATCAACCTCACTAGACAAAACTAGTTATTGAGCAAAAGTAATTAATTTCAAATAATTCCTAGAGATGCTACACATAACAGTGGAATCAGATATAGTGTCTGATGTTAATATCTGATTTTGCATTAGGTTTTACAATGTAAAATGCTTCGATGTGTTCTCTGTGACCTTAACTAGGTATTAGCAAATGACAATTGCAGTCCTGCAAATGGCAGTTTTCATACAAGATAAAGTGGGAAGTGGAAGTCTAAGGTGAACCTAACTTGCCATTCTCTTTAGTGACATTACTGAAGTATTTGAGTCCTTTATTTATAGCCTTTGTTTAAGCTCTTCTCCCCTCCTTAAAGTTAATTCTTACTTACAATCATAATTTATCTTTGTACTGTAACCTGTATCTGCCTCACAAACCTACCCACAGTAATCTGATGATGCCACAGTTCCATGTCAATAAGATACAACAATATCTAGCATGTCTAAAAAATTTCTGAATGAGCTAGGTAATCCATGAAATTATAAACTGCAGGATAAGATTTGGCCTTATTTTATGAGAATAACTTACCGATGGAGGAGTTGCATCCAAGGAAGAAAAATGGCATTTTGGAATTATGAGAGAGTGCCTATGACAGAAGTTTGAAACACAGTTATTTTACAACAAAATAACGGAAGACATAAGAAATCAAGGAGAAAAGAGAACAATAGATGCCTTTATGACTACTATGTAACATAGTAATTACATTCTAAACAACAACTATTATGTGCAAGATGATAAGTCCAGTTAGTTGAGGTCCGCCTGAACAGTGATGCAATATACCTTTTATTCAACAAAAACAAAAGCATGATGCAGTCAACAGCTCATTTGAAACTTACAGATATAAGCTCAGAGGAAAGCAGATTTTGGAACCAAGAAGAATGCAACAATGTACCATCAGTTTATTAATTAAACATGGGGCACTTAGTGCATTTTTACCAGTCAAAGAGAAGTCTAAATATGCAATCCAACTAAGAGCTTAAGTTTGGCAAATAAAATCATAGTTAGCACATTGGGGAACAAAATGTGCCATTAGAGAGGCTTTCATACTGAAATTTCTACTTACTTCCATTACATATTGTTTTATGCTTATTCCTACAGGTTTAAGTCAATTTGCATCCATCTTCCTGCAATCAAGTTTTGGAGTGCTTAATATTATAGCTCTCAAACATTATGTGGCCAATCTTTTAAACTCTGGTCAACAACAAAGAAGTTACCGGAAGTCCTAGCAAGACAGCTTTAGTAGCCAAAATGGACACTTTCAAAAGAGTGGATCACATGCTCAGAGTAGATGCAGGCAATAAAACATGAGGTTCATTCCACAATCGCATTAATGACTAAAATCCAACCATGGGGAAGAAATTGTAAGAGATAATGCATGAATGTCAAAGTAATGATTTTCTCAAAAGATTAGTCTGAGGTTGTTGAATTTCAGAAGTTTCACCTTTTAAACCAAAGGAAAATACTCAAATACCAAAATTTCACAATGCAACAAAAAGGATAATACAAAAATTTTGTGGGGCCAATTTTGAATGCTGGAGTGTTACTACTATAATATGTGACAACAGCTAGTAAAATCATGTGCCCATATCAATATGCATGGGGAGAAAACCAAGGACCAGTGTCACCAATTCACTATCTATGGGTTCAGGTTAAAACAGGAAAAACAACATGACTCCAGCAAAATCATATACTTATAAGATATTGACAATTGTATTATTGGTGCTAACATAACATCAATTCATGTGTTTTTCGAAAAAAAAATATAAAAAGTAAAAGGAGAATTACAACAAAACATAATGTAGACACTTAGTACTGTTGTTCAGTTCAATAAGATATCAAGCACTCCTTCATATTTCATATATGATTGCAGATATTGGAAACAAGAAATTCAGGGTGGTTCAGATTAAATATATTCGGATATCCAGGTGCATTTTGGACTTAAACTTCAGCTAAATTTCATCTTGTTTGATGTTCTCAATGATGCAGATGCAGTACTTGAAATCAAATCCAAACAATGTATGAGAACATGAAAAGGTGACGAAGGCTCTCAAAGGTCAGAAAAGAGAATTTCAACCTTCTGAAAAATGATTCATTTTATGAGTTTTTGAGCTTGCCAAATGCCAAATAACCCCACTAGATTTGTTATTCAGTTAAGGAGGTATTTAATGGAAACCACCCTATTCAAAAGGATTTTAGTGTCTTCAGCATGCCATAAAATCAACATATTCTCCAACTAGTATTAGGTGAAGTGAACCAGCGCAGGTCTCAATGCACAAAGACATCGGATGCTTTCTTTTGCCCATTATACAACTGACAAGACAGCTTTATTGGATCGTTAATACTTAAACAGCCAACAGCACACGGCTATCTTTCTGACCCCATTATTGCATTACTTCAATAGGTTTTGGAGATAAAAACTGTGAATGCCAAACATCAGAAGAACAAGGGCAGCTCAATAAAGTTTAATCGAATACTCAACATGATTCCTTACCCATGAGTCAGTGGATTTGTATCCAAAATGCAAAGGCATATATCATCTTCATAGAGCTGCAGTCAAATCAAATTCAATAAAAGTGAGTGCACAATTCCTCAGTCCTTCAAATTTGTGAAATTCTACATCAGACGATTAAGGTAGCAACATCAACTCTATACACAATAGTTGAGTCAGAAAAAACAATCTCCATAAATTTGTTAGGATCGAATTTGGCCAAACCTTAAACTAAGCAAGATATATAATACTAGTAACAGCTATCAAAAACTCAAATTCAAAGAAAAGAAGTAAAACAACATAGAGAGACAGAGAGTACCTTCGAAGCCGTTGCTTCCCCTCGAATAATCTTGCAAAAAACACAGTTCTTTTCTTCAGTGCCCTTTCCAACATCGGAACAAGAAGCGCAATTTGCAGCTAAAACGTATGAGTTCGGAGAATTGGTCGAAGCGGTTATGGAGCGAAGATGAGAAGAGAGGACGGCGAGACGACGACGTGCCTCCATTTAGGACAAAGGAGTACACCTCTCTTTTCGTGAAGTGTGTCGCCGAGGTTCGTCGAGAGAGCTTTTTGATAGCTGTGGAGGCTGCTGCTTTGGAGCAGAGTTACGGACGGAATGGAAGTGTGGGCTGTGTGGTGTGGCCTACTACCACCCCAGCTTGGATCTGCTTTATCCACATAGGATTCTGTACGGCATCTGTTTGGGGTTGGATTGTGCTCTAACGATCAGGATCCGATTAAGAGTGCTCGAAGGCACTCTTAACATACAAAATTTGTCAAGCAAACATCTAAGAATGTATTAAATAAAAGAAAATCAAGAATTGAAATGAAAAAAATTATATCACATTAACGTAATTCGAAAATATTTATAAACTTAAATTAACACTATTACAAAATTATTCTGTCATATATTTTTTCATGACAACTCTACTTTCCAATAAGCGTTTATTTTGTCAATTTCTTGTTAAATCTAAAGAATAAATTGTCTAGTTTAACTATAAATCAAATTTTTAAAAAATATAAAGAAAAAAAAACTCAATTGAATTAACATTGTCCGACGAATCTGTTTATGGCTGCAAAGACAATTGATTTAAATTATCAATCGTTATGACTTCTCGAATACTACATAAATATTCTCACGCTGGAATTAAACCAAATCAAAAAAATCAAAATTTCACCACTTAAAAAAAAAATTGATTTAACTAACCTTTTAATTGTTACGGTGTCTATTTTACATTATTCAAGTATTTAAAAAATACGAACATTAGCAAGGAAAAAACAATGCAAATAAGAAAAAAAAATTTGATTGTTGATTTAGAATATTATTTTTTTTGTGCAATTGATTTCACTTATTTTTTTTATTAATCATTGTTTTTTTTATTGATGATTAACTTGAGTTTGATTTTTTTTTTTTTTTGTGATTAGCTTGGTTTTGAATGTCATACAAATGTTTTGAGTAAATAAGTCAAATTAAGATCGTCAAGACAAATAATGCTAAGAGAGAGAATACGAGATATTATTATTTGTCTTGATAATCATAATTAAACTTTCATTCTATCTCATATATATATATATATATATATATATATTTAAAATCTCAGTGAGGGAGAAAGAGAGAATTATGTACATATAAAATTTGAGTATATGATATAGAGAGAGAGTTATAAAAGAGATAAGAGCCTTAGAGTTTTAAAAGGAATGAAAGTCCAATTAGGATCGTCGACTCAATAATCCTCAAACAATATAAGCCGCGTAAAGCTCAAAACAAACAAAGTTAAGTATTTTATTATATAGATAATATTAAATTTATGTTTAGATTAAATAATAGTGTATAATATTAAATTAAAATAAACAAATAAATATTGAGGGTAAGAGTTTGTATAATGTGTAACTTTTATATGAAAGTATAGATCTCGGTTTGTAAGGGTAATAAAATATCCGTATTTTTAATATTATACTTATTCAAAATAATACCACCTACTACATAATACTCATTAATACATAATGGAAGGATTTGGAGGCCAGTCTTTAGCTCTAATAGGATTCAAAAAAAAAAAACTCACTCCTTAATTTTTTTTTAATTAAATTTTTGTTGAAAAGTCAAAACAATTAACATATCTAAAGTCTTGTCCAATTGTAAAAAAAAACGATAATGTCATTACTTAGTTTAAACAACTATTCTAAAAAGTTACGTTATCATACTATACATTTTTTTTCACAAACACAAATCGTAAGACAACTGCACTAAAAAAAATATAAAAGTACTTAATTAAAAAAAATATAAATATACCTTCGAGCTAAAAAATAACATGTACACAATAAAAAAAATAAAAAATAACAAGTACACAATAAATAAAGTACAAAAAAAAAGTATGCAAGATAACAAAAAAATAGGTATGCAATAAGAAGTAATTAAAAATAACAGGTACGCAATAAAAAAATAATAAGTACGAAATAAAAAAAAAACAGGTACGCAATAAAAAAAAATAATAGGTACACAAAAAAAAATAAAAAATAACTGGTATATAATAAAAAAAATAAGTACATAATAAAGAAATAACAGGTACGCAATAAAAAATAACAGATACACAATAAAAAAAAGAGCAAGTACATAATAAAAAAATAACAGGTATGTAATAAAAAAAATAATTGGTACACAATAAAAAAATATAAAAATAACAGGTAGGCAAAATATACCCAAGTCGGCAAGTCTAATTTATAAGAAACCCACAAATCAAAAAGAAAGAAGAGCGCAAAGTAAAATTAGAAAAAAAAATCCCAAAAAAACTATTTCTCAACCCATCATTTCTTTCCAAAATCAAATCAAACATGAAGGTTTCCAAAATCAAATCAAACATGAAGGAAGGAAGAAAAGATTTGTAATCGAATTGATCTTCCTCATCATCGTCGGAGGCGTTGATGAATTCCCATGAAAATAAGTCACTAACATCAATTTCTATGGCTTTGAAGGCACCGAACAAATTTTCTATTCATTCTTGATCGAGAATAGATTTCCCCCGAAAATAAGTCCAATCAAAAAAGAATATTTTAAGTCTAAAAATGAAGATAAGATTTCCCATATTCGTAGAGGTAGTTGCTAGAGAAAGAAATGGAGATATATGTGTTCTTGATCAAGAATGAATAGGAAAACGGGATGGTAATGTCTTCTATTTTGGTTTACTCGCATCTTTTAAATTTAGACTAAAAATCATATAATGAGAACAAAAATAGGTAATTAATATAAAATATTTGCCTAACCCCACCAACCCAAGGATCGCATTCAAAGTATTTTAAAAAACGGAGAATCTCTGTTTATACTAAAAAAAAATGGTAAGATTCATATTGGTTTACAAATCAAATAAGGGACTCTAGTCTAATTAATAATGCATAGTATTGTGTGTTAAATAACAATAATGAAGCAGGTCAAAATTAATGATAAATTAAATATCATCACCAAATTAAATTAATCCAACCTTATCTCTTGATACCTAAACAAAATAATCCCTACTGTATTTCGATTACCACTCCAGAGCTGGGCATGGATTACACACCCTATGAGTGAAGATGTAATTTTGATTAACATGGACCTAGCTAATCCATGAAGAACCAAATTAGAGCCGTATTATACTTAGATTCACATTTCATAAAACATATTAAATTCGAGCTTTTAACGTCATATAATCGACACAATAGAAATGTGACTTGAGTCACACGAATCACGATGTATGTTCACAATCTTACGCCCTCAAGCTCTGCACATCAATTCGTGCTTTGAGAGCAAATTCGCCATTAATTTTTTATTTTTATGAATTCACGAATCCACTCATACAAATCGCGTATTCGAATAAATAACAATAAATAAATTATATCACTAAATTTTTATACTCCATTTTTTTTTGCTTCTAACTATACTTCCATTAAGAGAAATTTCTAGCCAAGTAGTCCCACGTGAAAGCCATGCCTGAAACGTCAAATGAGTGTAGAGGGCCACTGCCCTTTTATATGCAAGTATGGCTTTCCCCCTTTCACTTGTATTTTCAATATAGGATTGAAAGTCAAGGTTTGTAATGCCTCAAAGCTTCCCCTTCACCTTTTCTTTGGAATCGATTTCTTTAATGTTTTTTTTTAATTGATTTCTTTACATTTTTTTTCTTTACTCATTTATCATATATTTGTATATAAAAATTGAATTTTTAAAATGTATTTTCAATAACTTTTATATAATATAAATATATATTTATACTGTACTCATAAGTTTTTGAATTTTGTCGCTCTCGCACCCTTGCTCTCACTGTCGTTCCGGCTTTCGTTCCCACTTTGTATAATTTAGAATGTGACTGGTGATGGGAGTATTTTTATGTTGATTTCTTTGTGAATAGAATAATGATAAAAAAAATAGACAGATTCCACAAGGCAGGTGGGCTCACGTATTCTAAATAAACCTTAATGCTCCGTTTAGTATAATAAAAAAATAAAAAATTAGAAGGATGAAAAAATAGAGAGATAAATAAAATATCATGTTTGGTAAAGAACGAAAATAGGAATGATAGAAAAGTGGATGAATTAACTTTATTTTTAACTCACCAAAATTAATCCCTCCAAAATCAGAAGGAAAGTGGATGGAAAGTTAATTATTTGTTTTGAGATGTATCTTATCTGTCTATATATGATATATACATTAATTTCATATAAAAATACAATGATAATATATATATATATATATATATATATAATAAATTTAAAAATAAAAAATAAAAAAATTAGAATATTAACATTAAATTTTTTATTCAAAGTTTATGTAGATCAACACGAATACGAACACTACACGAAAATAAACAGGTCAACTCGTAACTCGACATGACACAATTAGTTAAATAAGTTGAGTTTAGTTTGACTAATGTTCGACACAAATCCGTAATGAATTAACACGAATCTGACACAACACAACACGATTCCATTGTCACTTCTAATCTTAGCCGACACCAAAAAAAAAAAAAAAAAATTAGTTATTTTTATTTTCCATCCACCAACCAACCAAATACAAATGAAAGAAAATGTATCATTCTTACTTTATTTTTTTGAAGGATAAAAAATATATCTTTTCTATTTTTCATTCTTCCTATTTTTTATCATTCGTACCAAACAGAACATAAAAAAATATTTGAGCTAAAATTGTGAAGATTAGGACACTCATTATAGAGACTCTGTGGCTGTCATGCAACAAACACGTGCTATGTTGCTTGGAAATTTTCCAGCAAAACAACCACAATGGCGGCCAAAATTTATGTCTTAGTATCCATTACCATTCTCTGGCAATTTCCTAGATTTTGTAATTAAATATCAATACTAAAGAATAAATCATATATATATAGTTATCATTTGTCAAGTCCATTATGTAGGGTTACGACTCTCTCAAGTGATCCGAATTATTCGTGCTCAATTTAATTTTTAATTTATTTAATATGAGCAATATTATACAGACTTTAAAATTTGATTTAAAAATGTGACATCATTCAATGATAATAATTCATAAAATAAAGTTTTAAGTCAATTTATTATTTTTCATTCAATATTATATATGATGATTTACGAAAATAGTGAGTGTTTGATGATTGTGCAGGTGTGTCGCTTGTGAAATCAACTATAGGGTAAGGGAAATAGACAAGGGTGTGAG